AATTCTCCAAAGGATGATTGCATGTTTACTAGATTCCATGGATGTGCAGTTAGATGAATTGTCTCTTTTGTCTCCTTTATCTTAAGATTGCTTGTAAATAGAACGATAAGATTTTTAATTTCAGTCCTTTTGGTCTGGAAAACATATTGTTCTTTAGTCTTCTTACTATATGGGGGAAGATATTTTGTATTTGGTTAGGAATCAATACCAGGTGTATGTGACTCAGATTTAGTTGAACAAATAAATAGATAACTAAAATGCTGTATGCAGATAAATTAAAATGCCAAATAATACCTGTGTGTCCACAGTGTGGTGAGAGTCAGGGGACTGGCTCTGAAGGAAGGATTTCTCAAAGAAGTTGCTGATTGAACTGGAAGTTGGGAAAAGAAGGGCATTCTAGGCAGAGCGAATCAGCCAAACGATTTATGGAAAAACATATTTTCTAAGTTCAGAACGGATGTACTCAGGGTTTGGGTGTGGAGAGATGCTTGCAGGTGCTGAGTGGATCCAAACTGAAGGGCCTTGTTTGTACCTGGGAACTTGAAATTTAAACTGTACACAGAAGGAGCCTGTTAAGGATGTTAAAATGGAAAGTACATCTTCAGTTCTGTATTTTGAGAGGTTATGACTTTGGTGGCAATGTGTAGGATGTGTAGGATTGGCTGGAGAGTAGAGAGACTGTTGTCAAGGATACTGTTCTATGATAGTTCAGGGGGAAAAGATTGGCTCTGAAGAGAGAAGACAGAGATGAGAGACAGAGCTGAGGGAATGTGCAAGTCCTGAGACATCCATCAGGAGTAAGGGAGAGTATGAAAATACTATTGGGAAGTCCTACAACTAGGAGGAAAGAGAAACGCATACGGATACTCAGAGGAGGCGCAGTGCTGAAGTCAAATTCTGAGGTGCGGAGTGCGCGGGCTGGCGGCGGAGGGCGCGGTTGGCGTTTTCAATCGGGAGGGAGTCGCAGACTCTGAGCTCCAGATACAGGCGAGTCTTTAGGGACCCAGACTCAAACGGGAGAAGCGGGACTGTCTGGCTTCGGTCAGAGCGAGTGCAGCTTTCTCTCCGAGGTTTGCAGCGGGTGCTGGGACTCAGAGAGGCAGAGCCCCTGGGGACAGGACTGAGAGCCGCCATAACTGCTCTCTCCGGCCCACCCTGTTGATCCTGTGCGACCCGCCCGGCCCAAGCCCTGCACAGAGGCATTTGCCGGATAGCCTCAGGCAAATGCCAGATTAGCACCTCCCTAGAGGACAGAAGTTCTCTCACTGAAGACACAGCTGATTCTCATAGCCACTTGGCCTGGAGGTCAAACCCTCCCTGGTATTAGCTACAACAATCAAGGTTTAACTATAAGACTGCACACAAAGACCACTAGGGGGTGCACCAAGGAAACATAACAAAATGCGGAGACAAAGAAACAGGACAAAATTGTCAATGGAAGATATAGAGTTCAGAACCACACTTTTAAGGTCTCTCAAGAACTGTTTAGAAGCCGCCGATAAACTTAATGAGATCTACAAGAAAACTAATGAGACCCTCGATATTATATTGGGGAACCAACTAGAAATTAAGCATACACGGACTGAAATAACGAATATTATACAGACTCCCGACAGCAGACCAGAGGAGCGCAAGAATCAAGTCAATGATTTGAAATGCGAGGAAGCAAAAAACACCCAACCGGAAAAGCAAAATGAAAAAAGAATCCAAAAATGCGAGGATAGTGTAAGGAGCCTCTGGGACAGCTTCAAGTGTACCAACATCAGAATTATAGGGGTGCCAGAAGAAGAGAGAGAGCAAGATATTGAAAACCTACTTGAAGAAATAATGACAGAAAACTTCCCCCACCCTGGTGAAAGAAATGGACTTACAGGTCCAAGAAGCGTGGAGAACCCCAAACAAAAGGAATCCAAAGAGGACCACACCAAGACACATCATAATTAAAATGCCAAGAGCAAAAGATAAAGAGAGAATCTTAAAAACAGCAAGAGAAAGAAACTCAGTTACCTACAAGGGAATACCCATATGACTGTCAGCTGATTTCTCAACAGAAACTTTGCAGGCCAGAAGGGAGTGGCAAGAAATATTCAAAGTGATGAATACCAAGAACCTACAACCAAGATTACTTTATCCAGCAAAGCTATCATTCAGAATTGAAGGTCAGATAAAGAGCTTCACAGATAAGGAAAAGCTAAAGGAGTTCATCACCACCAAACCAGGATTATATGAAATGCTGAAAGGTATCCTTTAAGAAGAGGAAGAGGAAGAGGAAGAAAAAGGTAAAGATACAAATTATGAACAACAAATATGCATCTATCAACAAGTGAATCTAAGAATCAAGTGAATAAATAATCTGATGAACAGAATGAACTGGTGATTATAATAGAATCAGGGACATAGAAGGGGCATGGACTGACTATTCTTGGGGGGGAAAGGGGTGTGGGAGATGCGGGAAGAGACTGGACAAAAATCGTGCACCTATGGATGAGGACAGTGGGTGGGGAGTGAGGGTGGAGGGTGGGGCGGGAACTGGGAGGAGGGGAGTTATGGGGGGGAAAAAAGAGGAACAAATGTAATAATCTGAACAATAAAGATTTAATTAAAAAAAAAAAAAAGAAACTACTATTGGGGTGGGGATGGGAGTGGCCTGGAAGAGATTAATGCGGGGAAAGGAGGACCTATGTAATACTTTCAACAATATAGATTTAAAAAATAAAAATAAAATAAAATACTATCTGCTTTTAGAGACTGGGAGGATGGGATTTCATAAAAGGAAGCTGAGTCAATAATAGGTACAGTGTAGATTTGAGACATTTCAGGTGGGAGTGCAGCTCTAATGCCGGTTTTTCCTAAATTCAACAACCACAGATCAGACAATTCAATTTAAAACTGGACAGAGGGCTTGAACGGGAATTTCTCTAAAGATATGTACATGGCCAATGAGCACATGAAACAGTGCTCAGCATGTTTAATCATTAGGCAAATGCAAATCAAAACCACAGTGAGATATCATGTCATACCTACTGAGATGACTGATATATTAAACAATGAAAAAAATAAGTGAGGATGTTGAAACTGGAACCCTGTGATTACTGGTGGAAAAGTAAAAAATGCCACTGTTGGAAACCATTTGCTGTTTCTCAAAAAGTTAAACCTAGGCAGGGTGGAGGGGATCAATGGGGGATAGAAAGGGACATCTATAATATTTTCAACAATAAATTTCAAGATAAATTAGGGGGGGGGTTAAACCTAGAATCACCATATGATTCAACAATTCCCCTTTTGGGTATATATACACAAAAGACAGAAGCATCGATCAGATGCTCAAACCTCAGAGGGAAGGTAGGGGAGGGTGGGGGTAAGGGATAGAGGTCAACCAAAGGACTTGTATACATGCATATAAGCATAACCAATGGACACAGACCCAGGGGAGTGATTTCATGAATGGGAGTGGGGTGGGGGGCAATGGAGGAATAAGGACATATATGTAATACCTTAATAAAAAATGTTGAAATAAAAAGAAAAGATTTGAAAGCAGGGACTCAGTCGAACACCAGTGTTCATAGCAGCATTATTCACAATAGTTGAAATTGGAAACAACCCCAATGTGTATGGAGAGATGACTGGATATACAATATGTGGTATATGCCTACAACGAAATATTTAGCCTTTAAAATGAAGGAAATTCTGAGATGTGCTACAACATGGATGAACCTTGAGGATGTTATACCCAACATAACATAAATACTGTATAATTCCACCTTCATGGGGTACTTTGCTTCGAATAGGTAAATTCATAAGGACAGAAAATATAATAGAAGCTGAGGGAGGGAGAAAGGGGGAGTTGTTGAATTGGCAGTTTCTGTTTGGGATAATGGAAAAGTTCTGGAAATGGATAGCATTGAGGTTACACAACTTTATGAATGAATGTATTTAATGGTACTGAATTTGTACACCATAAATGGTTAAAATGGTAAATTTTACATTATGTATATTTAACCACAATTAAAAAACCCATAAAATACCATTAAATAATTTCAAGTAAGGCATGCTAGTGAAAGTTGAATGGCATTTCCTAGTTATGTTTTGCAAGATGAAAGGGAAAGTTTAGTTTTTCTAAAGATTTTTTTCTGACTGTCTAAGAATGATGAGATCATTAAGAAACCTGTAGGTTATGAATAGCTCTTCTGGTAATCTTTAGTTTTATAAAGGACATAAGGTCAATACAGGTTGAGCCACGGTTTGAGGACACTTTTCTGGCAAGGCTTCTATCTAGTAGATTTTTAAATTTTTGTCTACTCTTTTCTTAAAATTTATTTACACACATACTTTATCTTTTCTTATAATATTTATCATTAATCTGTTTAATTTTATTTTACCTTTTTTAGTTCCCATGGTGCATGTGTTGAGCTGGTGAGAAGATAGTATATAGCTATATGTCATAATTATTTATTTATTTATTTTTAAAATCTTTCCTTTTGAAAGTATTATAGATGTCCCCCCCCTTTTTAAAAATATATCTTATTGATTTCTTACAGAGAGCAAGGGAGAGAGATAGAGAGTTAGAAACATCCATGAGAAACATCGATCAGCTGCCTCCTGCACACCCCCTGGGGATGTGCCCGCAAACCAGGTACATGCCCTTGACCAGAATCGAACCTGGGACCTTTCAGTCTGCAGGCCTACGCTCTATCCACTGAGCCAAACCGGTTTCGGCGTCCCCCCTTTGTTATTGTTCCCTTCTAGCTCACCATAATTCTTATTTAGATACTATTTGTTAATAGGCTATTATTTAGATGCAATTCTTAGATAAGCATTTTGTTTTAATTTTAGGCATTTATCATATCACAGGGTAAGTCTGAAAAAGCCTACAATAAGTTTCTTTTTAGAATTTTATTGAACTTTTTGATTCCAAATGTATACCTCTTTTTTTTGTTGTTGTTCAAAACAAAATGAATAATTGTGGTTTTGTCTAAGCATTTTTATATTATTCATTAAAGGAAGAGTCCCACATCTCCTTCTGGAGAAGGTGCTGTGGAGACTGTGGAAATGACATGAAAGAGCCTCAAATCTCGTGGAGAAAGTGCTTTGGAGACTGGAAATGACAACAGAGGATTTAGAAGATCACTAAAGTTATTTAGGTGTTTTGATATTCCTTTCATTTTCCAGCATTGTGATTACTTAATTTTTAAAATGTTTTAATTGATTTCAGGGACAGGAAGGGAGAGGGAGAGAGATAGAAATATCCTTGATGAGAGAGAATCATCAGTTGGCTGCCTCCTGCACACTCCCTCCTGGGAATAAAACCGGAAACCTGGGCATGTGCCCTGGTCAGGAATTGAACCATGACCTCTTGGTTCATGGATTGATGCTCAACCACTGAGCCACACCTGCTGGGCCAGCATTGGGATTTTTTTTTTTCATATTCTTAGATCAACTTAATGTGAAAATGGAACTTGAATGCTTTAATTGAACTTTTTATTGTTTAAAGCAGTGGTTCTCAACCTGTGGGTCGTGAGCCCTTTAGGGGTCGAATGACCCTTTCACAGGGGTCGCCTAATACCATGGGAAAACACATATATAATTACATATTGTTTTTGTGATTAATCACTATGCTTTAATTATGTTTAATTTGTAACAATGAAATTGGGGGTCAACATAACATGAGGAACTATATTAAAGGGGAAGGTTGAGTTTAACACTGGTTTAAAGTATTACATATGTCTCCTTCTCCCCCCATCGACCCCTCCTTGATCACTCCCACCCCCCTAATTACAAGGAGGCATGATTTAAAAAATCAATATCTGTTTCTTCTTCTCGGGATTGGGAGTATTTACTGAATTCAGACCACCACCAGAAGGTTGAGTCTCACCTTTTGAACAGATCTTTATGTCTGAATCCTTTGGAAAGTTTCTCAGATGAAGGATGAAGACTTGTCACAGAATCTCAGTCTGGATTCTTCTACACTTCTCTCACATACCTGCAATCTTTTTCCTTCTTCACTGGGTCTCTGAGGAGCCTAAATGGAATACTCTGATGGGAGAAGGAATTCATTCACTTGTTGACCCCCCTTGTTCAGTTGGCAAGGTAAATACTGTGTGTAGAGTGAAAACTTCCAGGAGTGCTCAGGTGACTCAGAAATTGGCCTTAAGAACCCAGAGCATTTTTTGCAAAACACAGAATTGTTTGAAGATATTGGCTATGTAAGGGCTTGTGAGTCATCTTTGTCCTAAGATCAGCAGGAAGCCAGGAAACATGGTAAATAAACACTGGGGGTGACCCTGTGCATTTCATGTTGACAAGCTGACTGCCTGCACTGTGGTTGAAGGTCTATAACAATACCTGCTATGCTGTAACAATACCTACATTCTAGTAGTGCTTACAGTTCAGAGAATTGCAGTTTAGCTAAATGAATTGTCAACAAGGCCAGGGAATCATGATCCCCATTAGTGATGAGAAAACCTGTCAGAGTGTGTTTCCAAGACCATGACGCTTGGTTAGCTGTGGGCTCTCTGCTGCACTTGTGCTGTTGCCTTCTGTGTCTTTCAGGTTCCTAGTGGATCTACGTTTAAATGGTGCTAACACTGCACTTTCACAGCCTTGCCAGCACTCTGTTTAACACTGAATTCTAAAGGTCACACACTTGGGTATTGTGACCCTTGATAATAAAATTGAATGGAATAAAAATATCAACATCTGAGTTAATATTACAGCACGTTTTCTAATTTTTGTGATCTTCCTTGAGATAAAGAAGTTGTATTCTGAGACATGGCACTTTTAAATTTTTTTATTTCTCTTAGGACAAATCATTACTATCATGAAAACTGTTTTATAATGAAATGATTTCCAACCCTAATAACGGGCTCTGGTATTTTTCACATATTTTATTTAGTTTTAAAACTTCACAGTGAATTAACTGGTATTTCCCCATTTTCTGGAGAAAATATTGAGGCTCTAGAGATGGTTTTTTGAAGATCAACAGCTAATAGGTAATGGAAGAGAACCGAGATCACAGTGTTTTTACAGTAGTTTCACCTGCACAAAATTTGTCTAGCAAAAGTAGTTGAGGTTGCACTTATCATACTGGGCACTGGAAAGTCCAGAAATAGAATAAAGGGGCTCTGGATTTGATTATCTTTTTTCTCATAAGTATGTTTTTAAATGGGAAAGTTCTACTGATGAATGCTAACTGTTGGGGGTAAATATTGTAATACCTTCCTAGTTATTTATATTTTATATGTTCTTGTTGTTGTAGGGACTAAAAATTGGAGTTTTACTTAGATCATTACTGCAAGGATTACACAATGCTTTTCAGAACAACTGAAGAAGTATGCACACTTGATCAAGGTAAGCATCTGTGTCATTAAAGGTTTTGTGAACAGTATGGTGACATTTGCTTGTATTTCGGTTATGTTTGGACTCTATGTTATAAACTCGCTTCTAAACAACATCGAGTACAGCCCAGCTGATGGGGTGTCAGGTCGTGTCACTTGTCTTGTACTCTCGTTCTTGAGGTCCCTTCCTTCCTCTCAGCTTCTCTCTCGCTTTCTCTCTGTGTGTGCGTCTCTGTCTGTGCCACTGACCTGTTGTTCTGTCTGGAAGCTGAGTCCACACCCTTTTCCTTACCACTTTAGTAAATCTTGGTTTTGGTAAGTTGTCCACTTTGTTCTGAGAGTGTCTTGGTCTGAGAAAAGATACGGCATATCGTGCTACTTTATTGTAACTTCTAGACATAAGCTGTCAAGTCCCATGAGTGGGATAGATTTCCACCTTGACATTCCTGATACGACGATTCTAGTGTGAAGCCATCCAGGTGAGCAGCAAGAGTACTAAGCCACATTGACTTCAGGGCCTCCTGATCCCATGTGTTCTCTGTGACCTGTCAACCTCTAGTATCGCCAGGTCCCTAAGCATTCTCTACCGGCAGCCCGAAGGATCTTTTGAAAATGTCAATATGATCATGTCTCTTCTGAAAACTGCCAGTGGTCTCCTATGGCCTTTAGAAATGAGTCCCAAATCCTTAGCGTGTCCGTCCAGGCCGTCCATGATCCGACCTTAGCTTCTTTTGCAGTCTTGTCTCTCCCTCACCCCTTTTCTGTGGTCACACTTTGAGATCCTCATTGGCATCACACTCTGCCAGCCCAGCTTAGAGCTGTGCCGTGCCCTTTATCCGGACGTCTCCCTCTGGAGTCGGTGGAAGGCTGGTGTTCTTTCCGGCATCTCCCATCCTTCCCCTGTCCTGCTCTCTGCTCCCATCTTTTTTTGTTTTTGTTTTCGTGTTTGTTGTTGTTGTTGTTTTGCAATACCATGAAATGCTACAACCTTGTCCACCCTCAGGAGTGTTAAGGATCTCATTCAGTGTGGAAGCTGAGAATTATAAGCAGCAGAATAGTGATGAAGCTAACAGTAGGGACTTGTCTTTCTCACAAAAGAACAAGTCCACAGGTAGGTGGATCCAATATTGAACTCAGCTGCTCAGTGATGTCAGGGTAAGCTCCCAGCATCAACGAGAGGAAAAAAATCCTCTCCTCGCTATTGTGCTTTATATCAGGGAGGAAAACAGTGTCTCAGAAATCAACTATGAGACTCTTGCGTGAACCCTTGGGCAGAACGCGCCAAATTGCAAGGGACATGGGGCAGTTTAGTGTCAAAGTGCTCCTGAAGGAGGTGCCTCAGCCCAGGAGGAGGTGGTGAGGGGAAGGGC